GTTGGCTAAATGACCAACATTAGATGATCTGATTTCAAATCCCAATTTAGCTACTAACTACCTGGGTAAACATTTCCATCTCTGGGCCTCAGTTTCGTCATCTATAAAATAAAGGGGTTAGACCAGATTATCTAAATCCTTTAATCCTATGACACCAATAACTTCTCCAAGTTATTTATTCCCACAAAATAAAGGGCACTTAGTTGGATAACATCACTTAGGAAAACCTTAGGAAAATCAGTATATTCTAAGTCAACAAAAAATTCTAAAGTCTGGCTTTGGAAAGCATTTTCTCTGTCTCATTAAAATAGTAATATTGTACAATGTATTAATTAGTTGTCTGCCATACAACAGCTGGAATAAGACTAAGATGATGATTAAAACATTATTTATATAAATACATTCTGACACGGATTAGAACCTTTAGTTCCCCATTCCATGAGCTGTGAATAAATATTTCAAGCATTCGTAATAAGGATATTTTATATGATCGTTAAGAGTGGGGTCACAAGAAGCTAGTCACATACAGAAGGCCTGGTCCTGAATCCCAGTTCCAGCATCCACTAGCATTGCCACGAGGGTCAAGTCACTAAACCTTCCTGAGACCTTTTCTTTATCTGCAAAATAAGGAATGATATTTGTCCTGCCTAACCTCACAGGACTATTGTAAGGAAAATACTTTGTAAACATATAAAGTGCTACAGAAACATGAATCTCATTATATTATTATCATATTCATCTTATCTTTCTCAATGTGGTTCAGATAGAAATGGTCCAGAGACAGATGCTGTCCTGTTCTTTTTCAATATTTAATTTGTGAATTAGTGGATAAAAGAACTATTTCTGTAATTGAAGTAAAGAATTGGGATCTAAACTCATCTGTAGGCTTTCTGACAGCATCTTCAGGATGACTTCTACAGCAGGCAGTATGGTGGGTTGATAAGTAGCTCATCCTGATCCCACATGGTTTCCATTTCTTCCACTATTATCTCTCCATTTTGAAAGCTTTTGATTTTGTGTCATTTGGAGATTATAGATATTTGGTATAATGACATCCATGAAAAATATCATTCTCAGATTGTTATTGATCCATATTGTGCCTGAGTGATTGTGGACAACACTTTCTTTTGTGATGATGTTCACTGGTTTATTTGTTTGATTCTCAAGGATATTTTGAGGCCTGGATTGCAGTATGGGCATGTGTGGTTTGTTAGTTTATCAAGAACAGCATGCTTCTGATGCATAATTCTAGCCACCAGATTGTGTCTTGCTAGATATTCTGCAGTTACGAAATTTTTGCAATCAACAGTAATATCCTGCAAAGCTTCTACCATTTCCTCACATAATTTCCATTATTCAGTAAGTCCAGGCTACTATCGGGATAATTTCTTCTACAGTTTCTTGTAGTAATGACCTGTTTTTGAATTGTTTAGCATAAACCCATTAGTTTCCATAAATACGTTTGAATGATTAAGCCATTTGTCAACATTTCTAATTATTATTGATATTATTATTTCTTTTTAAAATTTTTTTTTATTTTTAGGCAATTGGGGTTAAGTGACTTATCCAGGGTCACACAGGTAGTGTTAAGTGTTTGGTCTGAGGCCGAATTTGAACTCAGGTCCTCCTGACTTCAGGGCCGGTCCTCTATCCACTGTGCCACCTAGCTGCCCCAATGTTATTATTTCTTTCAGGACTATTTTTATCCCAGCTAATCCCTCTCTGCTTTTGCTTTGTCAACAACAATACCTTTCACTCATATGTGACTTTACATTTACAATAAACTTTACATGGGTTACCTTGTTTAAGAGGTTTCTGCATTCTCAAGCTGCAATGCTGACCTTTGCATAAGAAACATATTTTGGACCCAATCCACCTACAAAAATAAGGGGGATCACAGCCCAGGAGCCTCAGAAATATTTGTTACTAGATTTCTTTGACTCAAGGGTCACTGGCTCCTTTTGTTACCAACCACATGAGAATACTCTTTAGCCATTTTGTTGAAAGGGCCAAGTACGTCACAAAAGGAAGATAGCCAGACTTCTCTATCTAATAAAGGGCTTTGGATCTCCTTTTCCTTCAGTTCTTTCCACAAGATGTTCTTGTCTGACTTTACTCTGTTACAAGAGGTCAAGCCAATTTCTCTACTCTAGAAAGAATTAATTTACTTTTTTTCCTCCTGAGCAGAAATAATAGAATAATGGCACCAAGCCACATAGTGGCCATTTTGCATTTCTCAAGATGTCTTGGTCCCTTGAGTTGCTCAACGGTTATCATTCCCAGAGATGAGTTATCTTTGTCCTGGAACACGATTTGGCTTGAGTCACATTTGAGATGGAGGGGTTGAGAGGCATGGTGACTTGAACTCTCTTTCTCCTTACTATCTAACTCCCCCATCTCCCTCTGTGCCACATCTGTTTTTCGTGAAACTTGTAAGTCTCGTGGCCGAATGAAAATCAGTAATCATAATGTGGGAGTGTGAAAATTCCTGGAGAAAAGCCCACATTTCAGTTCAAAACATGGGATGATGTCATGATTTCTGCAGCAGATATTGGATTGACTAGAATGTTTGGGCTCATTGGTGGCAGGAAGTCACCCTGCATAGCTGTGGGACCACAACATCTGTTGATTCTGCATAGAGATTCATTCTGAGCTTAGGAAGGCAGGATATGTGCCTCCCAAAGGAGGGAAAGGAAAAAAAAAGCAGCCCTTATAGAGATGAGCCAAGAGAAAACTGCCATACCCCAAAGGGGCAAATACTGGCTTGAAACTTGAACTGACCAAGAATGAATCATCAGGATCATAAATGATCAATGTAGTCCATAGCCTTCCTTCCAGCCCTGGTGACTAACACATGTTTCAATGAAATGAAGTTACCTCTTCACATTGGAAAAAAAAAAGGCAAAAATTTCATGAGCATTAGAAGAAGGTTAAAAATAAAAGATCCATTTTGAAGAAAAGGTTAAGGATTAGGGCCTCTGATGGCTCAAAGCGGCTACCATGATGCTCCAGATGGCAACAGCATGGCAGCCAAGAATCTAGAGATATTAACACAAGCACAACCAGACCAGTGGAACTTCTTAGGACGTGGCAAGCCCTGGCTTCTGTTACCATGGGTCTAAATTAGATGGGGCACTCAGGATAGCTGTAGTGTCTTTGGGAAGTCTTATGCCAATAGCAAGTAAATGTAGGGTTCAAGAGTCCTGATCTATAAAATGAGAGGGTTATACCAGGTAAACTCTGATTTCCTAACTACATTCTATTATAGTGATCTAAGATTTACAAGTTTTACCACCTGTGTTGGGAGCAATTTAATAAACAAGCTCCCCATCTCCCCACTTAACCCCACCCCAATACACCTTAGTTTGCCCTTAAAAGGTATTAAGATCATCCTTGACACTCACTGCTTGAGTACAAAACAACAGGAAGAGCTCTCTGATGCTTGGCTGGTAGAAAATGATGGGCAAACAGGCAAGGAAGCTTCACTCCACTGGCTCAATCGAGGTGTTCTCAATGAATATTCTTCTTGGGTATTCTACTGCTCTGGCTGGGTAGATTTTTTTGTTGACTGTTGAGTACCTCCTTTTGATCCAACACTAAACCTAAACTAACAGGGTACCAGCTTACTTATACCACTATATGATTTGCCAAAATTTAGACTGTAGGGCACAAAAGTCAGCACAGGATCTTAGAGCTGGAAGGGCATCCAGTTGTAGTCCATACTTGACCAGGAATCCCTTCCATGAAGTGCCTAACAAGTGATCATCCAGGCTACCCTCAAAGAGTTCAAGAGATAGGGAACCCGCTACCTTCTAAGAGGTCCCATTCCACTTTTGGAGAGCTCTAATTGTTAGGAGTTGAGTTCTGCTTCTGCCATTTCAACCCACCGTTTCTCATCCTGTCCTCTCAAATTAGGCAAAAACAAGTCTAATCCTTGAGCAAAGAGATGAACCCTCCTCTCCTGGTGCATCACTCTACTCCAAGAGCTATATACTAAAAGCTCATTAAGTCAGGGTAACTGAATTGGTGAATAATATGAAATATAGCTTATAGGTAGCCAATATCTGTTTAATTAATACATAATCCTGATGAATCACATACAAAGTAAGCTAGGCTATTAATTTTTCTACAACACCCTGTCCACATTCCTTCATCGGGACTTTTGCTCACACTGCTTTTCTCCATCTGAAACATCCTCCACTCATGAAAACCTCACTCATCCTTCAAGGCCTCATTCAAGTCCCATTGCCTCCACAAAGGCCATCCCACAATGACCTCCTCTAACCATCTAGAGTAGTCACTTACCAAATGCTGCCTTGTGACACCTCTTGTATTTCTGTACCTGCACCGTTAGTGACTCTTTCACGTGTCTATCCCCAACTAGATTATAATCTCCTTAGGAACGAAGACTGGGAATTCTCTGCAACCACTCACACCTAGCTTGATATTATTTACATAGTGGGCACTAATAAACATTGGTTTAAAGTTGAACTTGAAACTAAGCTAATAAAGAGTTCCCCAGAAGAGCTCCTTTTGGGACCCTGCTTTGAAGAAGACGAAGAATGATTCATGATTATCATATTCTATTCATTTCAAGAAATATTTGTTGAATGTCAAATATATACAAGGCATCCTGAGGGATATAATAGGAAGCTGAAATCTGACTCCAAGATTATAATGGAATAAATGATCAATTATTTGCATGTAAACAGTGGCTTTTATTCTTCTTTCTACTACTCATTTGTACTCTCTATGAAAATGGGACTCAGAGAGCAAAGTCCAATTATCACACATTCAGAGCCAAAACAGATTGAAGCCTGGGACTGTATTTACCACAATAAGCATCACATTCAGAAAACCTAGTGCCTGCTGCCCAGGGTCACAGAGATGTGCCTTGATTTGGTAAAAAGGAAAACAGAATTTCTCTTTAGCCTCTTTTCACCCTCAGTTCCGTGAGGTTCTGCTGAAAGGCCCACTCCCAGACACACTTGGCAAAATACCTTTTCAAGTCCTTCTTCAGATCTTGGCTTTGAGAAGCTGGTAATTCTGCATCATTGGCTGGGGTGGGAGCCAAATGTGAGTCCTCAGAGGATGTGGGAACAATGTTCTCACAGGTTGCTTTTGCCCTGGAGGTCCTATATAAACAACAGAAGAATTATTTTGAATGGAAGCCTTGTTCCCTAGCAGCCATATTCACAAAACTTTACCAAACTGTACCTCTGCCCTTGCCACAAAGGACTATTTAAAGAACCAGTACTCCTATGCTATTCTCTGGAAATCTTATTTTTGAGCAGTAGAACATTCAACTTCAGACACAACTAGATGGTGTGGTGGATACAGCACTGGACTTGGGAGTCAGAAAGAACTGAGTTTAAATCCTGCCTCAGTCACTTACTAGCTGTATAAACCTGGTCAAGGCACAGTTTTCTTATTTTTAAAATGGGGGACATGAAATTGGTGACCTTTAAGGTTCCTTCTAGTCATAAATCTACGATCCTATGAACCAGTGTTATGCTGCTACTACAGTGAATTCTCTCTCTTGTTACAATAAACCAAAACCTAACTTGACATGTTTTTCACTTAAGCAGTTCAGGTATTCAAGAGAATGTCATTTATTAGTATTATTTAAGTACAACTCAATAGTCTAGGTAGTGAAATAAGAACTATAAAAACTATGAATTCAATTCAATTTAACATTTATTAGGCTCCTAATAAAGCTGAGGCACTGTGCTCATTTCTGAGGATAAAATACAATTTAATTCTCAAGGATCCTACAATTTAAGGGAGTGGACAGGAAAGAAATGTAAAAAAACAAACAAACCCAACTACAATACAAGAGACAGGGAAATCAGAGCTTTCCAAAGTGATGCGGGCAGCCCACAGGGAGGTAGTGAATCCTTCTTACTGAAAATTTTCATCCAAAGGCTAGATGACCATTCATCTCAGATGCTACAAAGGGGATTCTGAACACAGGTAGAAACCAAACTGGGTGGACTCTACCAGCCCTTGCGACTCTGAGATTCAATGCATGAGCACCATGGAAAGGTCCAGGAAAAGAAGCTATGGGAAATTTGGAGAGAGAAGATGATATACCTCAGGGTGACTCCTAGAAAAGGCTAGGTCATGGGACAGTAAATGGAGTGCACTGATGCACTCCTAAGACAGCTGTCCCTTTCTCTGGAAGAATTACCACAAAGCACAGAGAATGGAAATGATGTCTTTGGGGAGGCTTAGTAGTGATGGTAAGAGAATGTCTTAATGAAAGAGTGCCCTCTACTGGAGAGACATGGTAACAGCTAAGTGTTCAGGTAGCAATCAGACAGGACTTCTTGCCCCACGTGAAGTTTTCAGGAAAGGCTTTTGCTTTAGCTGGGAGGAGAGGGGAATAACATATGATGCAGCAACACAGAAACATGCCCTCAAAAGCCAAAAGAGCAAAAGCCCTGTTTTGCAACTCAAAATCAGTTTTAATTTCCCCAATTCAGCAAAAACAAGAGTACTGCGTCTGCACGGAGCCAAAACTGAAGCTGAGTGGGCCAGAAAAGAATTTGCTTTCTGAACCTCACTCCAGCTGTCCAAACGAGTGGGGAGAGAGGAAGAGGAGCCGGAGAAGCTGCAGGCTCCACAGTGGGGCCGTGGGGCCTAAATGGTGTGACTCAGCAGCTGAGGTCTCCGAGGCCAGCCCAGCTGCTAGGTCACCACCTAAAAGCCCAGCGATCGAGACTTCACAGCCATTAGTGAGAGGAATTCCTCTGCCTTTTCCTAAGTCTCTACACCTGCCGGCTGTTTCCAAACCACAAAATAGTGAAGGGTGGCAACATTCGTGTTTAAAGAATATTTTGCTTACTTACATTCTTTCAAAAATTAGCCTGTGTTAGCTTTCTAGGATTTAAAGATCTCACTGTAAGACTAGTCTATAAGGACCAACATAAACAAAGAAGCACACACAGACTTTGCAGGGCTCAATCGAGTACAGCCTTGTTATTTTACAGATGAGAAACCGAAGCCCAGAAACTTACCAATTATGTAGTCTTTAGCAATTTTCTCATCAGCAATATGAGGTTGGACTATATAATCTTCAAGGTCCCTCCCAGCTGCTACAAGATGCTAAGGTTAAATGTTTTTCCTTAAGACAACAGAGCTAGTTGGTGAAAATCTATATCCAAGGTTTCCTGGTTTCCAATCCCAGGCTCTTTCCAATATGGCAGAGAACTTAGCACAGGGTCTAGTACATATGAGGCGCTTAATAAACGTCTGTTGACTTGTAGAACACCAGAAAAAAAACGCATAGTAGGAGTTAGAGACCATAGCTTACACCCGGAAAACAGGACAGCTAGAGGGAGGGGGGATATTTCCTTAAACAAAAATATTTTTGAATTCTCATGAAGATTAACTGTGAAAAGTGTGTTTGGAATAAAATAAAGCATGAATAAATCAGACCCCAGAGGGGGTCTGTTACAATGCATAGAGAGCTGGCCTTAGAATCAGGAAGTCCTTGGTTCAACTGCTACCTCAAATGCAGGCTGGATCTGGGACCCTGAGTTAGTCACTTAATTTTTCATCCCCTGCACGTCATAACCCTGGCATTTTACAAAAACTTTAATTTATGGAGAAGGTGCCACACTCTGTGTTGGCAGAGAAAGCTCACCAAGAGCTCTCTACCTCCAATGATAGCACAGGTCTGGGGTACCTCCACACCCACCAAACCTCACATATTTGGCTTTTGTAAACATTTGGAGGCTGGGTAGGCTAGCCTCTACCTTGGAGGGGGGAAAAGTTATGTAAAAAGTTAATAAAATAGCTAATACGGGGATGGAGGGGTTAAACTAGGAGAATTGCTTTAGAAGTACATACAAATAATGGATAAATGGGAGCAGGAAGGATGAATTAGTAAATAGAATGTTGAGCTTGGAATCAGAAAGACAAGTTCAAATACCATTTGTGACACTACTGTTTGACTCTGGACCAGTCACTTAACCTTTTAGTGCCTCAGGCCAACCCCTAGGATTTATCTCCTAAGTTAAACAAAGGTTGTGATCTGCCTCCACTATTAAAGTCCCTAAGCATATACTGATGAAATCACAAATCTTTGGCATATCAATCTAATGGATTTACTAATTATAAGCTATTTTCACTTACTTTTTCAACAAGTATTGTTTTGTCCTTAGTTGTTGAAGAGGACCAATGACATCAGGAAGGTGATGCCATGATTTGCATATGAATTGGATTTAAGTGAGATAGAAATGAGCAAAGTCATCAGCCTCACTTTCTCCTCCCCTCCAGTGGTGAGATATAGATCAGGACTACTGGAGATGGCCCCTTATTGTAGTCCTCTAGAGATTAAAGCTAGAACCCAGGTTTCTGTTATTGCACATACTTAAAAGTAACAAATGCTATGCTTTTAAGAGCAAGGTATCATTCTAGTGCCTCAATGATTCAGATGGAACTTATCTTCCTTGCCCCCTTTGCCCCAATGCTCATTCTGAATAAATAGGGTCTGATTCCATTTGCTAAGGCTCTAGGAATTCCAATTTTGCTGTGTTTCCTTCGGTTAAAGGTGCACTACATCAAAGTAAAAGACCCGATTCCATCTTAGAAAGCAGTGACAGGTCAAGAGAGAAAATACATATTAACATCAAGAAAAAAAGACAAGTAACAAGAAATGTGTGCCCTGCAAACACTAGGGGGAAATGCACGAGGCAAAGGAAATACTGATTAAACCATAGGCAGCTCCACTAAAGACCACCTGACAAAGTATCTGTAAGGTTGTAAAGGCTCCGGAAGGCTCAGATGTTAAAGGGAGAAAGAAGTCCACACCAGCCAAGTAAAGGAAGCAAATCCATTGGCTCTACCACACCAAGTAACAACCATAAAATCTTCCACCACACAGTTATAACATGTTACTTTGAATTCTCACTCTTGTTCTCTCCTCTGCTAGGCTTCCTACCCTAGGAGATGCTGTGAGTCTTGGATGAGTCACTGAAATCTCCCAAAGGGCATCCTGGCCTCACTGCTCTCTCTGGATCCTGCCATTTTGTTATCCATGGAACTCTTCACAGCCACACCCTTCCTGCTCTGGTCTACATTGCATTAGCTCAGTGAGTCCAAACAAATCACTCAACAGTTAAGAACACTAAATCCCCATTCTTTTCTCCTCCCTACCTCCCACCCATCCATCTCCTTCTTCCCCCAGTCTAACTAATAATTGTCAGGTTCAATCAGCTATAGAAAAGCAGAGTGACACAACACACCAGGGTATAATCAAACCTCAAAAAGGTAAATTAAAATAACAAAACACAACCCCCCCCCAAAAAAAACAGGAGACACCTCCCAAGAGAAAAATAGCCCAGACTGATATTGTTTTCTAGGTGTTTAATATGTGAAACTCTTCTATCCCCCAGTACACTATAAGATCCTCCAAGGTAAGGGTAATGTGGTCTTCATGTATAAGAACTGATGTAGCTGATGTTTTAAACACCTATAAACTCTGCAAATGCCTCTGACCAGAGCAGCTTCTAACCAGTAAGGAGGAGATGAGAATGACTTAAATGTGGTCCAACTTGTCTTCAGTGACCTGATTATGTCACTTATATACTAACCCTGGTCAACTGGTACTGTAGATGCTTAGCAGGAATTGATTAAACCCCAGGACCCAGGCAGCTAGGTGGCACAGTGGATAGAGCACCAGCCCTGGAGACAGGAGGACCTGAGGTCAAACCTGGCCTCAGACACATAACACTCACTAGCTGTGTGACTCTGGGCAAGTCACTTAACCTCAACTGCTTCACCAAAAAATAAAATAAATAAACCCCAGGTGACCCATGGTTCCAAGGTTATCTTGTCAAGTTCCCTTCCAACCTGGCTGGTGCCTCAGACATTTGGTAGCTATGTGACCCCAGGCAAGTCACTTAAACCTAAGTGCCTCAGTTTCTTTATTTTTAAAATGAGGTAATAATAGCACCTACCTTCCAGGGTTGTTGGGAGGATCAAATGAGATGATAATTGTAAAGCATTTAGCACAGCGCCTGGCAAGTAGTAAGTGCCTCTAGCTACTATCCAGTGAGCCACCTAACTGCCATTAAGTGCTATATAAATGTTAGCTATCAGCTATTAGCTAGGGCTTATCTGGATTGAT